CACGGGCCCTCCGAGATTTTTCGCTCTTGTCCGAGAAGGCTAGATGTAGATCTTTCCTACCAGCAGATCAGAGGTGTGGGAGAAAGACAGCAGTAAGGAGGGAGCCAAGGAGTAGCAGTAGAAAGGCTGCAAAAAGAGTCAATAGCCCAGAGGAGAGGGCAAAGGAGGTGAGGGGGTGGGGGCAGAAAGGGAAATGAAAGCAGACAACAGAGCATTGCTAGAGAGCAGGAAAGGAGGTGAAAGGAGACAACTTTAAAGAAGAAAATTTTTCGGTCGTTACCCGGATTCGAACCAGGGACCTTTGAATGAGAGGTCAACACCTTAACCTCAAGGTCTCGAGAGCCCCCTTGCGTAAGTTTATTGCCCTCACGACGAAAAAGAAACAGAGAGGTTGGAGACGGATTACATGTATTAAGAAGAGGCAGAAAAAAAGATAAAGAAAAAAGAGAGAGAGAGAGAGAGAGAGAGAGAGAGAGAGAGAGAGAGAGAGAGAGAGAAAATTGATACAAAGAATAGAGCCTAATGGGACCCAAGTAAAAAGCCGGTTTAAAAGGTGTAATTAACTCCGATTGTTACTCGACACGTTTCTCGATCTATTCTTAGTTCTTTTAGTTTTGTGGGTATTGTGTTAGTCTAGTTACAGTTAAAGACCTCTGGTGTACACGTTGATAACTTTATAACAGTCTTCTATTATGTAGACTTGTACGGTAGGCCCGACAACCAAATACAATACCGTAGTTGTAGTAAAATAGTAGGCCTAATAGTAGGCTAATAGTAAGGCCTATAATTTCATGGGTTGGACGAGCGACGTTAAAAGATCCTTCGCGCATTGATGAAGATAAACAGACGGTGGTATACGGGTGTGTGTGTGCTTGAGTTGTGTGTGTGTGTGCGTATGTGTGCGTGTGTGCTTGTGTGTACAAGAGGTAAAAAAAGGACGTCATTCAGTGAGTCAGTATTGTCATGGTAATCATGAACGACAATCGCAATCTAAGGGACGTAACAAGTTTAGAGTTCTTTTTAAAAGAAGATTAATATTACACATTCGATCATTTTCTTACTGCTACTGGGAGATGATGGTGATGTCATCAGTCACATGGGCAAAATTTAGTATAGTGGATACATCAATGGCTTCACTTAGGCTATGGGTCATTATTTATGCGCAACGATGGCGACTGAACTGACCCGGTTACAGATCAAGTGATGAGGTACGTTTTCGACACTATTGGTGTCCTAATTTGCTGGCAAGTTTATCTGTTTTGCTGATGTTCTGTATTTCATGACACTTTGTACGTTAATAATTTCGGTGCCCAATGCCGAAAGACCCCAGCTTCGTTTAGAAGATGAAATGATCATCATCATTACGATCAGAATCATTATGACGTTGCGTTGCGTTGGTTGGCATTTTCAATCATATATCTAGATATCTAGATATAGATCTAGATATAGATCTAGATATAGATCTAGAAGATGTTTTAGTGTTGTTGAATAGTTCTTGGTATATCTAGATCTAGATTAGATCTAGAATCTAGATATCTAGATCTATCTATTCTAAAGAATCTGGTAAGGAAGGGAAGATTGAAGAATACCTGGCGATTTTGTAGTTTCGTTCATTATTTATTAGCGAGTGGCTATTCTTCAGCGTCGCGCCGGTCAATAGATCGGAAGCTATTCTCCGGCGTCATAAATAGGCCTAGTAAGTCTACCTTTCATTATATTTTATCTACGGTGATTGTCTACGAGCCAATTGTCGAACAACTTTATATTCATTTATTTCCATCGTCCATTTGCTTATTTATTTCAAAATAATGATTCTGTTTATTTAAACGAACAAAATTGATTTTGTGTCCATTCATATAGTTATAGCTTGCTGTTTAACTTTTCTTGTTGTTGTAATTTTAGATCAATTTAACTGATATGATATGTCGCGACTTCAGTGCTTTCTTGTCGTATCTCCATTTTTGTAAACAGTGAAAATGTGACTCCTTCTTATGCTCACTCTTTGTTATGAACTCGCGTCAATAGTTGTGAACATGTTTCTTCTTGCACCCAACATAATTCTAAATTGGAGGAATTGGGGCAGTTTACCAGTGTCTGAAAACCTATCGTCTGCATCAATGGAAGTAGCACGAAGAAGTAAAGTTAAGATATTTTTTTTTTCCAAGACAAACAGATGAGACAGGTATTTGCAAATCTGCGCTGACAAATTATTAGTAATAGACCGGCGGCGCGACACCGGAGAATAGCTTCTGATCTATTGACCGGCGCGACGCTGGAGAATAGCTTCTGATCTATCGTCCGACGCCGGAGAATAGCCACTTGCTATTTAAAATATTAAAGTCAAGAGTAGGGGGGTTTCAGGCGACATGCTGTTAAACGTAGAAAAGACGCATCTTTCTGATTGACTGCTAATTTTAGTACTGTGATGTCATCACTCCCTCGGATACCCACACGGAACGACATGTTTTCGGGAACATTTAGGATTTCCTAGATGTCTAGATCTAGATTTATCTAGATTAGATAGATATCTAGAAATCTAGATTTTAGATCTAGATAGTAGGCCTACTTTGGACATGATGGAAGACCGCAGGAAAATTGCCGTAAAGACGCAGGAGGATTAGATCTAGATCTAGCTAGATCTAGACAAACCCCCCCACCTTTCTCCTGCATTTTTAATCACTAATAATCATAGAGTTACCTCCTTTTAAACTAGAGTCCGTACGAGGTCACGTGACACGGAAACATTTGAGTTTGTTGGCGGCCATGTTTCGGTGGGCGAAAACGTTTGTTTACCTGTGAGTGGGCGTGTCTCTGCTCTTACATGTTTTATTTGATTCTAACGTTATCTTTTAATCCAAAGTGATTTTCTTAAAAGTGCAAGCATGT